TCACTAATGTGTAGTGATAAAAGAATTTCATTAAAATTCTTTCCCTTTACCTTCGTTCTCCCTAATATAGTTGTCCAACCAAGGTGTGTATTCATCGCTACTAAACTCTCCGTTACGTGTTTTACTTTCCCCTGTAAAGAGTTTTCCGACATAATCTGCTCCTACAAGCACGTGTATTTCGTTAGGGTTTTTTTTCAAATAAACAAGAATTCTCATTAGTTACATCACTGGGAAAAATTTTGTAACCTCTAAGTTTCTTTAAGCATTCCCTATCCTCCAATTTTGGAATATGTGAGCATATGGTTTTTTGGCTCAAAACTTCCATTTCGCATGTGAATCCTGTTTCTGGATTATTTAACTTAATCAGATACTTGTTGTGATTTTCCCTTTTTTCTATTCCCTCCAAAAAGCCCATGAGTCACACTTTCCTGACCTAAAGATTTTAGTTTTAATTTCTCCGCAAGAAATGTGCTGATATATGATCTGCTACTTCCGGTATCCAGAATTATTCGTATAAAATTGCTTTCACATCATCTCCGTAAACATTGACAATTAAAGTTTGCAAGATTACACTTTCATAGGATGAATTATTCATTAAGGCCTTATTTTCAATTTGTTCTTCCTTAATTTCGGTCCGTTTTCGTTTTTAAAACACATTATAGTGGCATGTCGTTGTTTACATAATTCACACCTTATTCTAGAAGTGCAATTAAAACTAAGATGCCGTGGGTGTAAACAGCGATAACATATTCCCTTTCGTTTTGCATTTCTCACTTTTTTTTCTCACTAGACCATAAAGATGCTTGTTTACACGTTATAGACTCGTGATCAGAAGAGTCGCAGAAAACACATGGTGTTTGTGCCCCCCGCAAACTTGCGTTCGTCAACTCCGCAGCTGTGTGTTTCGCAATAGGTCTGGTTTCACTCAGTTTGTTATGCTTTTGCGGCGCCGCCTAAACCATCTTTGGTTGGACCGTCTGGAATGTACGTTCCCGCGCAACTAATTGCTGTTCAGAAAGAAATTCCACTAGGTGATTCAAATCGTAATTTGATTTTCGAACTGTTTTATTATATTCCAAAACCAAATCTGCGGGCAATGTTTTAAGCAAAATAGGCGTTAATAATAAAGCTCCATATGTTTCTGAGGTCATATTTAATGATTCAAGACATCGAATATGTTTCTGTATATAATTGAATAACTTACGGAAATTTTGAATGTCATTAGAATCCTTTAGAGGTCTTATTTTCAGTAATTTATCTATATGGGCGTTTATCAGTACATCTTTATTTCCAAATCTTTCTGTGAGGAGTTTAACTGAAGTTTCGTAATTTTCTTCGGTTAAATCGAAACCGTCAATGGTGTTATAAGCAGTACCTCCCAAAAAGGATTTCAAATAATTAAATTTGCTTATAGCGTCAAGCGTTTTATTTTGGTGTATGGCTGATGAAAAAGTGTTCCAAAATGTCAGCCATTCGCAGCTCTCGCCATAAAACTTCGGAATCGTAAGTTTAGGAAGCTTCACATTATGACTTTCGATTTTAACGTTTTCTATAATACTTTCACTTAACTGTTCAGTGCTTTTAACACACTTAAATTTTTGTTGTTCTATATTAATTTCTTTCAATTTTTTGTTAGCTTTGTATTTAAATGTAGTTATTCTTTCACGATATTCGTCAACACCGTTTAATTCCTGGTCTAGATCCTTTATGTCTATTAATTTTTCTATATCGGCATCTATTTGTTTTAACTCGTTCGATTTTTCATTTAAGAGTTCTAAGGAAATTTCTAGTTCCTCTGCATTCACTTCTGTTTTTGTTAATTCAGTTTCGATTCGGCCAATTAATTTTGTAACGGCAGCCCTTATGTGGCCGCGTTTCCTTTTCAATGTATCGATGAATTCCGTCATTGTTTAATATTCAATAATTCAACAACTATCAGCAATTCACTAATTATTTATGCTTATGTATTATCTATATAACTGATATCAATTTAGACAGATTCAATAGTTAGGAAAACCGCAGTTACTGGCAGTCCCTGTTCGGGCGCCATGTTAAAAAATTTTATCAACTTTGTACTATTAAAATTTTTTGATCATTAAATAGATAAGTGAAAGTTCACTTACCTTCTAAATAGGGCTGCCCTGAACTGCCTTCTTTCCTTCTTGTCGATATCCGTCTCTATGATGAACTTCGATTCACTTCGAAACACAGTTATAAACTTTTTAAGAAATTTTAATTTGTATGAAAGATATCTACAAAATATTTACAAGTTATAATGATTACAAGCATAATTTATACGGAGACGGTCTATCGTTATACATCTGTTAGACGCGTCAGCCGTTCAACTGACTACTTTTAGTCTCTTTCGCCAGAGGGCGTTCGTGGAAGTAAAGTTCTAGTAAGCAAACGCGACAATTTTGAATAAATCCTTGCAAGGACAAGATCAGAATGTGTGTTGCCTTTAAGAATATGTTATTTTATTTAGAAACAAATTAAAATTGTTAAGGTTTAATTTGGAGCAAAATAATTTATTTCATTTTGAATCTTGCAAAGAGATCTATAAAGAAATGAAGGAATGTAATATAGAAGCGAATTTTAAAATATTTTTACCAAAATTGGATATGCTAATTACAGATTTCAATGAAAGATTTTCTCAATTTGATGATCTTAAACAATCTATAATTTATTTTGTGATCCAATTAATATTGATATCAACTCCGTTGATCTTAAATATCAAACAGAATTATTCGAGGCTGACCCATTTTTTACATCTCGTGGAGTAACTGGAATAGAAACATTCAAAATTGAGAGATTTTTGGACTTCAAATTGTATCAATGTTCGGAAGTACATATATCTGAGAGCATGCATACTCCGATATGAAATATACAAAGTCAAAATATAGAAACAATTTGAAAGATTCCACTCTTGAAGATATAATTAGACTTGCCACAACAAATATTGATGTGGACATAAAAGATATTGCTGCTAAACAATTAAGGCCACAATATTCTCATTAATATATTATGAATATTTTAAAGTTTTCTTCTTAGTATAAATAAAATATTTTTTTATTAACATAAACTGACTTTTCATTTATCAAATTTCTTGGCCCCTGAAATGTTTGGTAAAGAAAATATGGCCCACGGGCTATGATAAGTTGGACAGCGCTGATCTAAAGGGTATCAAAATTTACAAAAAAAAGCTTAATATTTTATTGTTAGCTTAATATTTACTTTATTAAACATTTCTTTCAATGTAAGTTGTTTAAGTTGCTTCCACAAAAAATTCAAAACATTCCTTTTTTTTTCTTATGTCATATACAGTTCACTTTCCAATGTTATCCACTCCATCAGTGCATATTGAGCCAATCACATTCATTGGTAATTGATATTTAGTAAAAAAATCTTTGATGCGATTGAAAACATCAACTCCTCTCGTATTCACCTCCAGTGGCTCACAAAATAGAAATTCTTCTATCACCTCTTTTTCCTTCACATACCTGACAGATACCAAAAGTTGGCTACAATTATCAACATCATTTGACTCATCCAGCTGCATGCGTATTTTTAGTGGACTGATTTTTTTGTCTTCAATTACTTGCATTAAAACATCTTCACCGAGATCTTGTATTCGCGATCGTATAATATCATTCAATAATGGAATCTGTTGGATTTTATTATGTGCTTCTGAATCTAAAACAGTTTTAGCAATAATTAAAGCAGAAGGTTTAATCAACTCTTCAGCGATCGTGTGATGTTTCTTTTCTTTTCTTTTTTTTTTTTTTTTTTTTTTTTTTTTTTTGCACATAAATATGCCACTTGATATGACGCTTCTAATAAAGGTTTCTGAATTGCTGGTCCGCACAATTTGAGGATAGTTCCACTGGTATCAAACCGAGCCTTCTTTGACTTCAAGCTGTTCATGCTATGTGCTTTTTCACCACAGATTGTTGAAATGCATAATAAAAATATATACCATGCAGATTGTTGAAATGCTCTAATAACTTTGATGGTTTGAGATTGCTGTTTGAAAATATCTTGGAACACGCAAGATGCATTGCAGTCGTTGCGTTGCGTACCATCATTTTCGGTTGTGTAGGTAAATCCATAACCGGCATACTTATCATGTTCCATTCTCGTTTTTTTGACATAGTGGGGTTCACTATAATCGATTTAATTATTTAGAAATAATGTAATATTATATATATAATGTTCTTACATTTGTAATATCACTGAATCCTATTTGGCTTGAATGGGCAATTAAGAATGTATTAGACTCAAGAGGTTTCTGGACAAGTCAGAATACACAATACACATGTCGCAGACACAATAGTTGACTCAACTTGACTCAACCTAACACTGGAGCAGTAGATGCAGATATAAATCTGTGAATCCGTACATTCCATTGGAGTAGCACACATTGAACTCAGCGCACGCGCAAGCTGGTATAACGTTCTCTGCTTGTATTCCCACAAAGTTTTTTTTCTTTTCTCTGTCACCTAGCTGCCTGTTCGCGTTCATTTGTAGCATTTCATGCCTTTTCGTAGCGTAGTGTATACGCCCATCGGAACCGGCTCTTTCCTGTGTCTTTTGCTGATAAGTGAGCTAGGTGCTACCAATTTTTATGAGCTTCAATATTGGAGACACTATTGCAGATTTCAAATATTTTATTATAAGAAATTTAATAAATGATATTTAATAATTTTTATGGTTAGGTAGTGGCTTCTCCCGCACCCCCAAAAATACATTCCCGCACCCCTGCTTAAGAACCACTGGTCTGGAGAAAAATGGGTTTTAACAGCATATCTGCATTCTCCCCCCCCCCCATTTTCTATTGCTAAAATGAAAAATTTTTCAGAAATTTTTGCTGCCAGTAAGAGGTCTGGATATCGGACATTTGGATTTCGAACTTTGTACTGTATTCTAGTCTCTCATTTACAAACGATATTGGGGTTTAAAATCTTTGCATAAATATAACTAAGAAGATATATGGAGCTTACCGTAATTCATACGTAAGATTTGCAAGAATTCTAGCACCAGATGCACCTACAGGGTGACCTAATGCAATAGCACCGCCATTAACATTAGTTTTACTGGGATCTAAATTCAATTCCTTTTGAACTGCTAGAAACTGAGACGCAAAGGCTTCATTTACCTACAAATGTAAAAAAAACATAAAACATAATGAAGAAAATTTATTTTAACACTTACCATAGTCAAAATATAAATAATGAAATACATATTATATTGAATAATTACTAACTTTCAGTCCAATAAAAAAACCCCAAGTTCCATTATCCCAGAAAATTCCAAATTGTGAGGACGCATTGAAAGAAGAATGTACACATTCTTCATGTGCTGTTGGAGTACGCAAAACAAAAAAATATGTGCGATTTCAAAGATATTGTTTGTAAAACTTCAAATTGTGATCGCACATTGTCTTCAATTTATTAGCAATGCTAAATCACCATTGCATGGAAGAAATTTATTATTTTTATATGAAACAATTGGAATACCTTCTACTGCACTGTGTTAAGTAAGTTCAAGCAACCCAAGTAGCACAGCAACATCGTAACGACGTTGCAAACTCGTTGCAGCTGTCATTGCAAAATGTCGTCTTTAAGACGCCCAGATGTCCGTGATATCCTGCAGCTTTATAAAAAGTTGTTTAGTTATAGACTCTCACTGAGAAAGATTTTTTTGCCAAATAATAGACATTGCCATTGGCAAAGGTTAACAAAACTGATTCAACTCATTTGGAAAAAAGTGGTTGCATATCACTTAAATAATTTACAAAAGTAACAGGATGTTTATAAAGAATGATGTAAAATTAGGGACTTCAATTATTATTAAAGAACATAATATGCCAATTTACAACCGGTTACTGTGAAGAACACTACATGTTTTTCCAGGAGCTGACAACAAAATACGAGTAGTAAATATGAAGACAAAATATGGCATATTAAAAAGTATAACTGCTATTTGCATTTTTCCATTAGAGGAAGATGTTGGAAAATCTCGGCTCTGTTTAACTTAAGCTTATAAGGAGTCTTAAACTCTTGTCTGATTAATGATAACTGCTTTTCTGACAAGGTTCAAGTAAAAGCATCACAAGCAGTAATGCCATGAGATTTTTATTCATATAAGGATTGTAGAAGCAAGCTGTTATTTGAGGTCAGAAACGGCAGTAAAGGAGCCAAGGTGAGCAAAAAAGGTTACCAAGATAGCAATGCCAAGTTGAAGTAAAGTCTCCCACAGTACTAAGTAGAGACAACAAGAATCATACAGCTTAATAATCCTCATTTTTAGGATTGAATTCATAAAAAGCCCAAGATCCGAAGAAACCACTCACTACTTACCTTCTACATAATTTCCTTCTGACAGTATAATTCTTAGCATATTCATACAGCCTGTAAAAATTAAGGTAATGAAATTTTGTTTCCTCAGAATTTTAACAGGTAGCAATACTTACCTACAATTAAGATGATTTATGACTTAGAATCTTAATATCCATAATTTAGAATAAATCAGTTTTTAAAAATGATTTTAAAAGCAGCGTTAATTTTCATTTAAATGCTCTCATTTCTTTATACCTACAAACATGATTTGATACTAAGAAAGAAATTTCACTTCTTATGAAACATGCAATGCAATGCAGCCTTTTAATACTCAGAGTTCATCAATATACACAATATTTGCTTCCGAGTTTTAAGGTGCAGCTGGAGGTAATTCCAAATTACAGAAATAGATTCAAATACTTTAAAAATTTTGCACATATTTTAAATTTAAAATAGCAACCATATTATAAAATGTCAAAGCATTTTAATCAATATTATTTTATGGATTTGTGTCATGATTGTCAGGTTGGCAATGATTTATATTTCACATAATTTATTTAAAAATATCTTTTTTATTTTCTATAAACATGACTTTATATACAGAAATATTTACATAAGTTTAAAGAATATAACTGAAATGACATGTTTAAACATCTCTGAAATTAGGTGTTCTTAACACCTTACCAAAATTATATTAGTCTCACTAAACTCACACTCGGATGCAACCACCCTACCAAAGTTGTCCACACAACTCCAACCTTTCACCTGCCAGTCTGTTTTCCACAGCTGGCTCTTCACTGCAATAAAGAAGCAACCGTTTGGCTGACTATGGAGATACATAACACCCTCCAGTAATATTGTGCTATGCCAAAGTGAAGCAGAATCTGACAAATGAACCAGCAAGTTCACAAACTAAATAATAACACTTAGTAATTAATACACTCACAAGCACTTAAATTTTCTCATACTGAAACAAAGTACTTAAATGATATATAAATACTCCTAGAATAATATTTGCCTAATATCATTACTTATTCTTAAAACTAAACAAAATCAATAAACAAGAAATATATATATGATGCAACAACACACTTTTGAAATAAATGCAATAACCATTCACTTCAATCAATAAATAGATGTTTTGTTACAATACCAGACTCCTGTAAATAAAACGTATATATGCAACAATACTCAAAAACACCAAAGGAAAAACACTAATTTTTTCAAAACGGATGGAAAATAGCTCTCATACAAATCCAGAACAAAAGAAAAATAATTAATGCAAAACAATTAAGTTTAAAGTATGTTAGTTCATACCTGGTTCACACTCAGTTCATTCACCAACTAGTCTAGAAATACTATCAGGTTTTTTTTTTTTTTTTTTTTTTTTTTTTTTTTGTTTTTTGTGCATCAGGACAACGAAAAACATGAATGCTTTAATGTTGAAGTACCATTCCCTATCTCTGTAGTTTAGTAGAATGAAGTGTGGACTTTTGAACACGTAACAATGGGTTATGGTCAGTGATCAACTCGATATTTCATCCAAATACCCAACACTGAAATTTTTTTAATAAAAACACAATGGGCATGCGGATCAGCAAGTGGACCAGTTCTGCTGATCTTTTGAAAGTTTTTGACTGGCAAGGCTAATGGAATACAAATTGCCTTTGCTATCCCTTTATGATAAGAATGCACCAACTCCATAGGAACTAGCGTCATACTGGATGGTGCATGATTTCTTCGGATCTAGAGCGAAAACTTTAACTGCTTTATATAGTCAATATCTGAGATCCTGAAATGATGTTTCCTCAATATCAGTTCATGGGATTATCTGTGGAATCTTATTTTTAGCAAGCTCTGTCAACAGGTGAGCTATTTCTGCATAATACTTTATGTAATTATGATAATACTTAAACAGGCCTAATGCAACCTTCAGAGCAGTCTTAATTTTAGGACTTCCTATGATTTAGATGGCTTATAACTTTTCAGGATCACGCTGATGTCTTCCAACTCCTATTATAAGTCTTAAATATTTTCTCTCTGAATGTGCAAAAACACAGTTTCTTACATTCACTGTAACTATGAGATAATGTAGTTAGAGCGGTATCTTCCTATAATTTTGATGGCTTATAACTTTTCAGGGTCAGGCTGATTATATGTCAAAATATTTTATCTCTGAATGTGCATAAAACATATTTCCTTGCATTTGAGATCACTTTATGTAGTTAGCATAGCATCTAAATGTTTCAGATGAGAACTCTAGTCGAGTGAAAAGATAGCTATATCATCAAATAGGCTTTGCAAAAATCATTTTGTTCTTTTACTGCATTATTCCTGTCTTTGGAAAGTAGCAGCTATATTTTTCAATTCAAAAGGCATCACTTTCTTACATTATTGGGAATGATGTGTGTTGAATAATGCTCAATCATAACTTTCTCCTTCCAAAGCTATCTTCCAGTAACCTTTTAAAACATCTAGGCAAGTGATAATATTCGCTTGCCCAATTTGATTAGATCAGTCAAACTCTAAAACGGAAAATCAACAGGCTTGGTTACTGTATTCAATAATTTGAAAAATGACGCACAACTGCACATTTCCACCTTTCTTGGTCACACATCCTACTGGGCATGCTATTTTAACTTCATTTAGTTCAATGAGACCAAAGTTCTCTAATTCTTCAATCTGCTTATCTACTTCAGATTTTGAAGATTCAGAGGTCTTATAAATATATGTCTTTTCCCTTTCACCTGCAGGTAACAAAGGCTGGTATTCACCAACACTGGTATTTGGATTTTACTAGACAACAGCACAATGTGCTTGAATAAAAGCTTATATAATTCCCTATGTTTATTTTCTTAATATCCATCTCGATCTCACTTTTAGTTTCTGTACAGTTCATCTTATTTGGAATCAGATAAACATCTCCAAACTAAGAATCATTCTCAAAAATTACTTCTATAGACTGTGCTAGAATGTGAAGTCTTCTTATTTTGTTAACATGAACATGTCAGACAATGCCTTTTGGTAATTTAACTTAATACGAATGGGGATTCACTCTTTTAATAATTTCCTAGCATACACCTGTCCACCTAGCATACAGCCTGTGATTTGAATCTGGGATGAGTAAATAGGCATGTTTTCCAATTTTGAAATTTTTTGGTGCTGAACTTAAGTTAAAATATTCAGCATATTTTGTTTACCACTTGCAATTAACTTGGCTTGGTCAGCTGCTTACTCTAATCTTATTTTTAAATACTGTAAGTAATCTACTGCTGATTTGCTTAAACTGGGTGGTACAGGTATTTCTCCTAGTCAAGACTATTTCAATACTGCTTAGGGACCTCTGGGTTTGTCTTCTATACATCAGCTGAAATGGTGAGATTCTGATGCAGTTTGGTACTTCCCAGTTAGCAAAGAGTAAGTACAAGATGTGCTTATCACAGTTCTAACGATCAGTCTTGATGACATGATGTAACATTTGCTTGAGGAACTGGTTTCATCTTTCCATCAATTCTTTTGAAGGGCTGTAAGCAGGTGTGGAGAATCTAGGGTGAGAACCTAGTCTTTTCTGAAATTCTTTAGTTAATTTTGAAACAAAGTTGCTTCCATTGTCACTTGCTGTTGGGAATTCCTGTTCTCACAAAAATCTCTAAAAGTGCATCACAAGTGCCTTTTGCTGTCAGTTTCTCAGTGGGATTGCTTCTGGCCATCAGGAATATTTCATTGGGGGGGGGCGGGGGGGGGGGGGGGGGGGGGGGGGGGGGGGGGGGGCGGGGGGGGGGGGGGGGGGGGGGGGGGGGAATTGGGTGGGGGGGGG